GGAGGAGGAGGAGGAGGACGACGAGGAGGAGGAGGAGAAGGAGGAGGAAGAGGAGGAAGAGGAGCAGGATGAGGAGGAGGGGGAGGAGGTGGATTTTGGGGCCTCTTGGACCATCTTGGGGGCCATCTGGAGCCAGCTTGGGCTAGCTTGAGCCATCTTGGAGGTCGTCTTGTGCTCTCTGAGGCGGTGCCTCTCGGGTGCCTTTTGGAGGCCTCTTGGGGCCTGTTGGGGCGCTCTTGGAGCCCTCTTGGGGGCCTCTTGGGAGCCCCGGGGGGGCCTCTCGGGGCCATCTTGGAGGCGGTCGGTGAAAAGAGGGGGGTCGTCGAAGTAGCTCCCCCCTCGGGGGCCACGATCCTCGTGACAAAAAGTGACCCTCCCAGGGGCCGAAAAAACGACCCTCTGACACATCGGGCCCCCTCCCAACAAAAACCCAGCGAGGGGAGGGGGAGGGTTCCCCTCCCCGAAGGGAAGACGGGTCGTGGAAGAGGAAAGAGACCCTCGTTAGACCACCTGTCGCCCAGAGGGCTGGTGGGATATGGGCCCAATGCTTCAGTAACATCAGTGGTTTTAGCCATCTCGCCGGGGCCATCTTGGACGCTCTAGCGCCCCGCGGTTCCCACAACAAAAACCTAGGGAGTGAGGGGGGAGGTTAACTTCACGGAAGGGAAGTGGATCTTCGATGAGGGGGGACAGAGCTTGTTAGACCACCTTTGCCCAAAGGGCTGGCGGGATTCACGGGCTTAACAGCTACTTGAGCATCTGTGTGTCCATCTGGACTATGGAATCACTTCGGGACGTTCCTGGGGGCCATAGTTGCTGTACATTTGCAATCGAGGTGCGCGCGCGCCAATAGCAAGGGCCAGTGTGAGACGTCGCCTTCGCATTCGTTCCGCACGGGGGTTCGTTTCGAACATCTGCAGTGCGACAATTTTTTGCGTCGCTTCGCCCGCATGTTGTCTGAGCCCCTCCCTTCTTTAGCTCCTACGTTCACTTCTACTCCGCGTGCCGCTTGGGCTCAATGGGCATGCCGGGCTATTTTGAGGCCTTCGGTCTGGATGCCCCCCCCCCCGCAGCGCGGGCACGGCCAGGAGGGGCAGTGCCTGGGCTGCCGCTCGCGCCGACGCGACCCGCCCCATGGCGGCGGAGCCTACGTGATTTGATGCGCAGCCGTGCCACGTGGGGCCTCTGGATCGAATGTGTTTGGCAACTGCTCAGGAGGGGAAAAACACACACAGGCATGGTCGGCTGTGTTTTCCGATGCTCAGGATGAGCCCGTCGCTGTCCAAGTAGCTGTGGGAAAGCAGTTTTTCCCCTCCCAAGTCTCCACGCTTCGCGTGACCACACCCGTTTTGTTGACGCTGCTGGCGCGCTCGCCCGCGGCCGCGACGGAAACAGTGACCACGCCAGCCCATCCAGCAACGATGCCCAGACGAGTTGCTTTGATGAGGGATGTGGGGGGGCATGCGGAGGAGCAGAGGGCCAGGGTCGTACCCCAAGAGGAGGCGGATAGAGGAGGAATCGGAGGAGGAATCGGACGAGGAGGGGGAGGAAGAGTTGCAGGAGGAGGAGGGGGAGGACGATGAGGAGCACGATGAGGCGGAGGAGGAGGAGGAGGATGAGGAGTGGGAAAGGGGGAGGAGGAGTAGGAGGAGGAGGAAGAGGAGGAAGAGGAGGAGGAGGAGGGGGAGGAGAATGCGGATCATGATGATGATTATGATGATGATGATGATGATGCTGATGATGATGATGATG